GTGGCAGTGAATGGCTGGTGACTTGCGTCCAAGTGAATCGCCCAGCGCCCTCCAAGGTCTCCGGTCAGAAGTTGGCCCTGCCTGTGTTCAGTGTTGTTTGCGTAAAACTGCGCAACAGCCTCGGACTGCCCCGACTGCGTATGCAGGCTTTGGGATGGGATAGGGCAGGTCAATGGCAGAGCGGTTCGTCCTCGGAGTTGGGTCAGCAGCTGCTGAATTGGGTCACATACTGTCAGCAGGAATGTCTTCGTCTGAGTGCCCTCCAGTATGTTGTACCGTTCTCTTCCATCCCTTACTTATTTACGCTCTGGCAAATCTCTTCCTATACTTTTATTCACATTTTCACTGTTGTCTTTTGTAAATATCATGTTAATGTCGCCATTAGGGTAAACAGCGAATGTCTTTATCACCCGAAGCTCGTTTCTGGTGTACAGGAAACACTGATCACCACTATACAGTGACTGCGAGTTGGAACCAAATGCGGGTCTGGTCCGTGAGCTGCAATAACTTCCTACCCGAGAAGCTTTTCGACACCAAAATGTAGATGAAGACCTTGTGTACCGGCTAGGTCATGGGGGAACTCAGGAAGACATGTAACTTCGAAGTTTTTGATAATAGAAGCCTCCTGGATAACCTAAATGGCAATTTTTGGCTGCGGAGTTCTTCGCCAACTTGTGCTACTGCCATGATGAATGCTCCCAGGATCCATTAACACTACGTGAGACTTATTTCATGAATGGAACCAAGTGAAACATGTTTTTTTTAATGGATTGTCTGTGGCCATATATGACTGTCAAAGACTAAAATACGACCTTTATTTGACAAGGGTGTGTAGATAGGCTTTATAACTAACGTGAATATTACTGTGTGAAATTTACTTCCTCGAACTGTTTAAAGAACAAAGTGAACTCAGAAGCACCTAGTTAACGTTTTTTTTAACTCAGTATTTAGTATGAACTTGATATTCTATTACAAATTCACAACGTAGCCTAACAGACCAGTTACTTGCAGTGGTATCAATAAGAAATCTGTGACGTGTGTTTGCCCATATTCGCTTCAGTATACCTGCAAATTTTTCGAAGTATTATGCAGTTCAAGCTCGAAAACCTTGGCTGAAAAAAATGAATTGTGCCGCAACCGAGGTTTTTTAGGCACTAATGATAAATGTTTAGATTAAACCCGTCACAGACAAGGCAGACGTGGCCATA